GTGCCAGGAGAACTGCGCCACCCAGCATCTCCCGAATTGGCCGCACCTGGGTACGCCCGCATGTCTTGCCTTGCCACCCCCGGTTCGCTGTCCGTGTAAGTGTTCGGGGGCCTTGAGACGGGGGTCAATGCAAACGGGGGTCAGCCAGAGCGCCCGATCTTGCAGGATCCTGCAGTGCCAGGGTCGCATTGACCCAGGTTTGGGTGCAGGATCCTGCAGGATCTTTCGCATTGACCCAGGTGTGGGTGCAGGATCTTGCAGGATCCTGTGGGATTTTGCAGGCCTGACTGACCCGGGTCTGGATTGACCCGAGTCAGAAGATCCCCGAAGCGTGTGCCCCAGCACGCGTGGACCAGATCTCAACGGTCTGAGGGTGCTGCGCCGCCCGCGGCTTCCTCCTCCCCCCGCGCCTCTTCTTTCTTCCTCGTGCCCAGTTCGGCTCCGATGCGTCCCTCGGCTGTCTTGAGCACTTCTTGGACCCGAGTCGCCGCTGGCAGGAAGTGCACCGCAGCGTGTCGGCGTGGCCCAGGGCGTCGTCGATCTTCCACCCAGGACTGGTGCACAGTAAGTCGGTGCACAGCTGTTCGTCCCAGCAGGCGGGCAGCTCAGGCACCGTACCGCACTGGGGCGGCGCGTGGAGAGAGAGGCCAGGCAGGGCACGGAGCACGGGCCCCGCGTGTATCAAACATCGGCGACCACAGCCTACTGGTAAGAGCCGTCCGCGGTTCCAGATTCTGGATCTGTACACCTTAGGCGATGCTTAATAAAACTTAAGTTTTCGACCAGAGTCTCGATTATTCGTAATGTTTCAATGTAGATCCTAAGATTTTAATAGAAATCTTGGGTTTTAATTCAAGTTCTGAGACTATGAATTTCTGAACCCATGATTTCTTAAGCATTTCGCAGGGTGTATGCCTCCCAGATGGGGTCCGAGTACATGGGGTTGGCGGATGCCGCCGCATCGCCGATGCATCGGCGATGCGGCTCGAGGCGGGGCCCGATGTTCGCCGCCGCCGGTGGCGGCGAGGCGGCGCGGTCCTCCGATGCCCACCCGCTCGGACCCCATCCGGGAGGCCTCTGGGACAGGGGGTCGGTTCTTGCAGGTCGGTTCTTGGGAGGGAGGGGGGGAGGGAGGGAGGGAGGGGGGGAGGGAGGGAGGGAGGGTGGAGGAGGGAGGAGGAGGAGGGAGGAGGGAGGAGGAGGAGGAGGAGAGGAGGAGGAGGAGGAGGGGGTCGGTTCTTGCGTTGCCCTCGTAAGCGCACGTGCCAAGAGTGCGGCCCCGCGCGTCGGGACCAGAAGCGCCGTCCACGATCCCGCCCTGAAAGCCAGAGGAAGCTCAGGTCTCCCGCGGGTTGCGCGAGGAGCATCGCGCGCCGCGGTCTGGGCTGGAGGACGGCCCTCCCCCAGGAGGGGGCGACGCGAGAGCGCGAGGGCGCGGAGGTCACCGCGCGCCGCGCACAGCGGGTCGCGAGGGGCGAATTGGATCAACTGAATCTCGGACACAAAGAACGAAGGATTGCAAAACAACGAAGGATTGCAAAACAACCTAAGAATTGCAAAAAAGGATTGTAAAAAACCCTGGATTGCAAAAAAACCCTGGATTTGCAATCCTGTTTTTTTTGCAATCCTTGTTTCACCTCATTCTCCTCCGGCTTCCTCTTCCCTGTGTGGCATCCCGCGCCAGGGCTGGACCTGAACGGTGTTTTGGCGATCACGTGGGCCGTTGTCGTTTCGATTTCGTTCTGCGGCAAAGGCGAGTCGAAGACAAAGGGAGGGAACACGAAAACAACACGAAAACTAAAAACACCGTTTAGGTTCAGCCCTGTCCCGCGCCATCTGCCCAGACGCTCCTCACTCGCGCGTGGTGGTGCAGCCTGGTTGTGGTGACCCGCTGTGCTCTTGACTGGTGGTGTCTTCGTCGCCGGCAAAAACATCGAGCACGATCACCTCTGTTTCGCCTCACGCTATGCCCTTCTCCACTGGACGCCGCTCCCTTCTCCGCGATGGCGGAGGCCGGTTCCCCCGCGAGCTGTCCTGCATGGCCCAGCCATGGCCGAGAAGATCCCTTTTCGCACCGCTGCGTCGTCGCCGTCGCTGCGAGCGTTGACACTGTGTAGACATCCGCATTTGGACTACCTGCCCTTGGGACGGGTGCCCTGATATCCAATATTCGAGAGCCAAAAGAAAAGGATCCTGCACCGCAGAAGTCGGCCTCATGCGAAACCGAGGCTCACAGAAGCAAGCCCTCGACTCGGCTACAAGATCCGATCCCGTCCGAACGCGGGGCGCGTCTGCAGTTCTCACGATCTGGCGCTGAAGTGCAAGATCGTCAAGCATGACGGCTGGAGCCCCAGACCCCATCTTCTTGAAGCAGGCTTCCGCTTCCAGCCAGATCGATTTGGAATGCTCGCGGGCCCGATATTGGGCGAGAGCGCCCGGCTTGAAAACGATGCAACGCCCAGATCGCAGGGAAAAGTGCCCGAAGATCGCCCCGCGACAGGCGACGAAGGAGCTCCTCCTCGGCAGCCCGGCCTTCCACAGGTTCGCGCAGGAGTCCTCCAAGAGGGTGCCTCCAGGGACGCAGCTGCAATCCTCTGCCGCGGCAGCTCGTCTTTCTCAGGATGCAGCTCTCGAGAGGATGCATTCAGCATCGGAGCGGGTGTATTCTCAAAAAGTGTTTGCATACCACACCCTCCCCAACCCCAGTCAGAAACCACCGCACGGGACCACGTCTGGTATATTCAGGAGGGAAAGAAACACACAGACACAATTAATCCTCGATTCCCCAGAGAATATGGGAAAATATGGGAAGTGGGGGGGAAGACAGAAAGCCAGAACATGTGGGAAAACATGGGGAATGTTTTTATTTGTGTGTATTTATTTGTGTCCCAGGGCCCCCTCAGCCCAGTATATAAGCACCACGCCCCAGGGAGAGACTTTTGTATACCAGACCCGCGATCAGGACCCTCGCCCGCCCCTCATAGCCTTAAGGCTTCGTTTTTTTTGTTGGGGGGGTGTGGGAGGCGCACATCCGAGGTCGAGAAGCTGTCTGGCAGGATCCCGCCCAGCCCCTGTTCTTGGCATCGCTCGGACGTGTGCATTTGTCCTTCGGCGAGGGCCATCGAGGAGCATCCTCGATCATTCGGCGAAAAAACCACGCACGAAACCGAAAAAAACACAGGTAATGGACGTCCGAGCGATGGCCAGTGTCCATCCCGCCCAATCTGGCTTAGTCCTGGACGTGGCCCAGTCTTTATCTGGACAGCTAGGGCTAAATTGCCCCGTAGTCGGATTCAGAATTCTGCATCGTTCTTTCGAAGGCCTTCCAGGGTTTGCCTCCCATTCGTTGTGTTCCTCTTCATGCCCCGCCGGTTTCCTCCTCGTATATATCCACTCTTCCGCTGGCACGCTCATCATGCTTCTCGTGGTATCCATGTCCCCCTTGCTAGCTCCTTCTCTCTCTCTCTCCCTCCCTTCCTCCCTCCCTCTCCTTCCCCCCCAGCGATCTATGCACACATCCCGAATCATGTTCCCTGGGTGTCCGACGCTTGGTTCGATGCTCGATTCGAGCGGGCGTTCGCAGTTCGTGATCGTCACACCCGGTGTGGGCCAGTCGCGCCGTCGCAGGGAAATCATTACACCAGAGAGAATCCCCCCCCAGTGGATGGTTCGATCGATGAGGAGATCGACCGGGAACCCGGGAGCCCGGAACCCACCAGAATCGGCCCAGAACCAATGACCAGGAGCCCAGGAACCCGGAACCGGGAACCCGGGAGAGCCCAGCCGGCCCAAAGCGGCGGGAAATGTTCGCCGAATCTTGCAATGTCCGCTCGGACCCATTCGGTGCAGGCACTGATGGGGGGAGTTTCCGCGAGCGTCTCGGCGCGGCCGCTCCAGGACGCTCTCTGGCGTGCGCACGCCCGGCCGCGCGGTGTGTGATTCACCAGTCTCGAACTTGTCCCTATCCCCAAGATTTGTCGCGCGAAGAGGCGACGACAATCCTAGGGATGCGCCCTCAGAAGTGAAGGGAGTCCCTGAGATCGGCATCGTGACGAGGCGATGCCCAACATAGGGATAGGGATATGTTCCAGGCTGGTATCGGCAACACCCCAACATACTTATACTATATGTGCGTCGCCCCCCCAGGGGCGACGCGCGCACCGAGAAATCTTATAGTATATGCGTCGTGGCGGGCGCTTTCTGGCCACACCGCTCGGGAAACGATATACTACAAGATGGGTATACTATATGTTCGGGTCGGACGCGCGCCTCCAAGGAGGACATATAGTATTAGTATGTCCATGTGCGTCCCATGGTAAGTAATGCGCAGCGACGAGACATGATGCTCGTGATCGGAGCGCCGTGCGGTCGGGCCGAGGTGTCAGGGCGAGGTCGGCTCGGGGAGGGTGCACTCGTGTTCTCCGTGCTCGTTGGATGTGTGCTGTGCATCCTGCTTTGCCTCCTCCTGGCCTTGCCGTGAGGTCGTGCTCCTTCTGTCCCCCCCTCTTTGTTTATCCAAGCTTCGCGCGGCCCGCTCAGCTTCGACCCGAAGAGGTGCACTCTCGACCCGCGAATCAAAAGTGTTGTGCATCCTGGGGAGGGCACTCTTGGATTGTTCTGCGCGTTTTGGCCAGCGGAGGGTCTCCTGCTCTTGGAGGAGGTTCTTTTGGCTTGGTTGGGTCCGGATGTAACGACCCACCCCACTTGTCAGGTCGTAGCAACATGATTATAGCGTTGCGCCAGGGGTGCTCCTGTTGGCCTCGGGGTCCTTCTTTTTCCACGTTTTCCTAGCAAGAAGATATTCGACAGGGTTATCTCTGTTGTTGTCCTCCTGAGCGAGGTTAATTGAATTCACGGGTCGCCCACTTGATTTATAACCCGCTCGTCAATGGTGCACTCCGAGTCTTTTGGGAGTCTTTTCATCGTACGAGTCCAGGCTTAGGTTTGACGGTCAGTCCCTAGTGCAACGGCCGCGATCTTTCGTAATCAGTGTACGTATTGCGAATAACAGGGTAGGTTCATGAATTGACCGAGTGTTGAAGCAAATGTGCAGTATACGATGTGTTGAACGCGGAGTGACTTTGGAGGCGCTTGTGTCCATTGGCATGAAGAGAACCACCCCATGGCCATTATCAGCGTCAGCGGGCCCCCTAACGTCATCCCGTGTGCGGTGATTGGTCTCAACGTCATGCCGATTTGCACGCAGATGTGGTGCACGGCTGCAACGTGTCGTCGTCGTCGTCGTCGTCGTCGTCGTCGTCATACCATCTTGAGGGGCTCGTGTTGTCCTGCTTCCTATCTCGCTCTGGACCAGTAACAACCCGGTTGTTCAAATTCGATCGCCTTGGCGGGTCGGGTACAGTCGGCGCGCTGAAGAAGGAACCCTTTTCGCTCGGGAGGGGCTCAGTGTTCCCTAGTCGTTTTGCAGTTCGGCTCTGGTGTTCCTCGGGTTTCCGACGGGGCAGTCGAAGTCTCGCTTATATGGAAAGCAAAGGCCCTCGTTCCTCATTTAGGGCTCCTTGGCTCAGCGCCCCGGCTGTAACGTTGATGGGCGGGGTAGGCACCCCGCGGCACGCTTCCTCGGAAGCCAGCGCGCGGCTTGACGTCGCCTACCTCTCGGCGGGGGGCGGGCGGAGACGGCCCCGGTGCTCTTCCCGCCTGGCCCCGCTCTGCTCGGGATCGGTCCCCAGACCCCTCCCAGAGAACAAGAACCAGAAAGCGCAGGGCAGGGCAGCCGTCGTCTCGATTGGATATCCACCGCAACCCTCCCGAATCTTGCAGCATCTACCCTTCCTCCCTTGTGGTGGGGATTGGGTCCAATCCCCGTCAACCCTCCCACTGTTCTGGCACCTCGCCCCTCCAAAAAGGAAGGGACGGGGGCAAGGAGGGAGGGAAGCACGGGACTGAGGGAAGCTGGGCGGGGAGGATGCCATGATGTGTCGAGGAAGGGAGTGATGGGGAGGCGGGGGGGTGGATGGATTGAGCGAGGTATAAGAGTATGGCGACGGGGGAAGCGGGTGTAAAAGGAGGGGGGCAGCGGCGTGGAGGCGCGGAGGAGGAGGAGGCCGCGTGCGACGGGGCGACGCCGCTGCCAGCGATGGGGGTGCCCTCCCCCTGCGGCCCAGGCCAAGGCGGCCTTGGACGAGGCCGCCAGAGCAGCGGAGCCCCACATCACGAGGGCCGAGAAGCTCGGGAGAGAAGCCCTGGGCTCGGAGCCTGCAGAGGCCTCCTCCTCCTCCTCCTCCTCCTCCTCCTCCTCCTCCTCCTCCTCCTTCTCCCCCTCTTCCTCCTCCTCCCCCTCCTCGCGACCCCCACCCGAGAGCGCGAGGCGGGATGCTTAGGCAATGCCAGAACCTTTGGGGCCGCGATGTGCAGAGTGCGCGGTGCGGGTCGGGAGCTCTTCAAAAATGCCAACCTCTCGGGAGGGGAACGACAAACGGCAAACACACAAACTTTCGGAGGTCCGCGTGCAGTTCTTGAACCACTGCTGGATCAACCCTCCCTGACGCGCGGAGCTCGCCAGGGGCGGCGCCCGAGCCGATCTAAGAAATCAGCGCGGATCTTCATCCTGAAATTAGCAGCCCCAACCTGTCGGGTGGAGATCGACGATCCGCGCCGATTTCCTAGGTCGGCTCGGGCGCCGCCCCTGGCGGGCTCCGCGCGTCAGGGAGGGTTGATCCAGCAGTGGTTCAAGAACTCCACGCGGACCTCCGAAAGTTTGTGTGTTTGCCGTTTGTCGTTCCCCTCCCGAGAGGTTGGCATTTTTGAAGAGCTCCCGGCCCGCCTCGCACACCCTGCACACCCTACCCGCCAGGCGCATACTGTTTCTGTGCTCCCTGGGTATCCCGCTTCGCGTCGCGTCGCCGACAAGTGACGACCGCATGCCCAAGGGCGCCCTCGAGGGCGCGAAGTTGTTCGCGCTTCGCGCTTCGCGGTTCGGCTCCGATTCCTCCTCCTCCTCCTCCTCCTCCTCCTCCTCCTCCTCCTCCTCCTCCTCCTCCCCTGGGAGGCGGCGCGAGAGCGCGAAATTATTCGCACTTGGAGCTTCGCGCGGCGCGAAGCGCGAAATCGGGAGCCCTTGATGCCGCGGCAGGCAGGGCCCCCCGATGGAGCCGCTGCGGCCGCAGGATGCCGCCGCGCGTGCTCTCGGGCGGGGGGGTCGCTCCGAGCAAGAAAATTCCCCAAGCGGTGCTTGCCCTTCCGGGTCCTCATTGTCCCTTCTGAGGTTGTGGAGGGCGATCAATGGAGAGGAAGCGTGTTGCCAAATAATTTCCAGATGTCTCAAGCATGTGCTAAACATGTTTTAAGCATGTAAAACAACATGTTCAAGACATGCTTAGAACATGTTCCGACATTTCAAACACATTTTAAGTTCAATGATAGGACTGTTAGGGTGTCCATTGTCGTGGCATCCACAATTCTAAGGAGCTGGGCCCGTTTGCCAGCCCGGCGGCCCCGTTCCCTTTCGTCGCCGCTTCATCGGGGCCTCTCTGTTGCCCA